AGAACCGTGGGTCACATCTGTGTATTATTATCTGTGATGATTCACCTGCTCCATCACTGAGACACAGGAGGGACGAGAACCTGGACCTGTCACGTCCACAACGCTGTCACTTATTTGTCAGACTGACTCAGACGACGCTACAGAAGAAACGACTTAAAGATTTAAACCATTATTTTACAGCCTGGTTCCTCGATGGTGGAGGACCAATCACACACCTGGTTAACAGTTGGCTGACCCTCGAGGCTCCGCCCACCTTAGGCAGGTAATTAACTGTGCGCCGAAGCAGCGTCCGAAACCGGAGTCCACAGTGCACTACATATAATTCCCTGTAGAGGGAGTAGGGAGTAGGGAATGACAGCAGAAGAAGAAGAAGTTCCAGAAGGAAGGTCAGAGTCCAGACTGAAGCTGGGTGTTTGTCGGTGGTCGGTAGTTAACTTTGTTACATCAGTCCAGACTGAAGCTGGGTGTTTGTCGTTAGTTAACTTTGTTACGTCAACATTACTTTGTTGTTGCTCTGTAGACTAGCCTCACTGTCTCCCCCTGGTGTTGTTACAGATGACAACATCATCACTGATGCAGGGACATTTTGTTTGGTCTTTTCTTAGAATATAATCACAAACACCACTGGTCTCCCATGAGCCTTTGCAGTTCAGTCCACAGCAGGTCCAGACTGAGCCAGGTTTGTTGTTTTTTTTTCTCTCCATCACTGGACCGTGAGGACAGAGGCTCAGTCAGAGGATGATGGACCTGGACCAGGAGCAGAAGACCAGAGCCAAGTGGCAGCTGTGGAGTCTTCGCTCTCTGCTTTGGCTTTTACAGCAGCAGCAGCAGCAGCAGCAGCAGCAACAATGAACGACCAATACACAACAGGAGAACAAATATAATAATATAAAATATTAAAAATTACATTTGGGTATAAAAAGGTAACAAAGATGATTCCAGGGACAGATAGTACTACTACTACTACTACTACTACTTGAAATAGTACTAATAGTAATGAAGTTATTGTACTTGTAGTTGACTAGTAAAAAAAACACATATTGAGTCTAGAGGTCAAAGGTTAAATGACGGTGGCTCCAGCGGCTCCGTTCAGTAGTAACAGTCCTTGAACAAATACTCGCAGCTACTTGAAGTACGAATACTTGAAGGTCAGTTGAAGTACAAGAACATTTCTGGTTCTACTGAAACACTGGTGAGTTTGTCCTGAGTCAAAGGGACAGAAGTCAAATCTGAGTCTGAGACAATGGAGTCAAATAAATGAAGATGTGGCAGAAAGTTGTGTGGATCAAAGTGGATCAAAGTGGATCAAAGTCATCCGTTCAGTTCTCCTACTACGATCCTCCACTTTATCCTTCAGCATCAGCCGAACGAGGAGAATTAAAGCGCGTTCCTTCTCTGATGTTTTCTTCTTGACTTGTTTGTAGTTCATGCTGGTGATTCACGTTGTTGTCAGCTCAGCCCTTTGAGGCTGCTTTAGAGGTGTTAATGAACGCTAAAGGTGGTTTAAAGTAGAGCTGACACCTGCACCGAACAGATGGTGGCGTCGGTGGGAACAAAGGTGACGACTGTCGAGTCAAAACTGTTACAGTATCTGAGGAAACAGTTTCAACATCTGCATTCATCGCTGCAGCTCTGTCTCTGATTGGTCCAAACGTTGGCCAAAAATCTGGTTCAAAACAATCCGAACTCGTCTTCATCAAGAAATGGATCCATGTAGAGGGGGCGGAGTCAGGGACTCAGTGATAAAAATGATGTGAATGGTAAAAAAAAAAAAGGAAACTATGAGTTATGATTTGGTGGAGGTGAGGAGACCTGGACTGTCGTTCTCTGGTCCAGTTTCTTTAAATAAACCTTTCATTTTTGGCCTGGTTCTGGTTCCTGTCATCACTGGAACAGTTCTGATGGATGTTCTGATGTAAAGACAAAAACCCAGAGCTCCGTCTCCTCCTCCTCATGAAGACTCATTACATTCATGTCCCATGATCTGACATTAAAGTCTACAAATCTGCACTCGAAGAATTCTGAGCAGAAAAAGAATCAAATTGACACATTATTCTCCTCTGGCCTCAGGTTTTTGTTTTTTTTGGAACAGCTGCAAGTATTTGTTGAAGGACTGGGAGTTTTGCAGCGGACACCTGGGTCTCCCTGCCCTCCGCCCCCCCAAATGCCTCCTTGTTCCCTCACGTTTTTGCTAATGCAGCCCAGATGTTGAGTTGGCGTGAAAGGATTATTTGTAGCCCAGTGTTTTTAGGGTTTATGAGAAAAGGCTTTTGTTGGAAATGAGTCATCCAGAAGGGAATATTAAAAAAAAAAAATAAAAAAAAAAGCCTAATTTGACTGTGGTCCAAAGCGTGGAACTTAACAAAAGCAAGTATAATTGCAATTTTCTTATCTCTTGATTAATTCAGTGGTGCTAATTACCTCTTCTTATTCCATTCTCCAGAGCCATGATAATTATTTTTACTCTATTTAGATGAGGCGTATTTGAAAGAAACATGAAAAATATCAGACATGGGAGAACAGACCACGGAGGGGGAGGGGNNGGATTCACACAATCAACCTGAGCCTTTTATTATTACTGTACTACATGAAGTACTGCAAAGACTTTTCTCATTCAGATCTACTGGAACTGGAACTGAACCTGCTGACCCCCCCCCCCCCCCCCCCTCCCCCAGTACAACCTCATCTACTGACCAGATGACCCCCAGGCCGCACCAACCTTAGTGAAGCCAGGCTCAGAACCATCTGCTGATCACAGACAGCAGACAGATCACAGACAACAGACAGACCACAGACAACAGACCTTCCTGTAGACGAGGAGTGTATTAAACCCTGTTGAGGCTCAGCTTCAATGGGCATCAACAGGGCAACCAGGTGGATGCTGATTGGATACATTTAACAAACCAAAAACTGGTCTGTGTGGAAGCTGGTCTTCTGCATCATGATTGGACAACTGGACGTTGGTGTTTAAGAGGCAGAAGAACTGGAACATTTTCTGTGAACGAGGTCTGGGGACCGGCTGTTACTGACTGTTACCGGCTGTTACCGACTGTTAGCTCGGCGACAGAGACCGTTGTCATGTGTTCTAGAATATTCTTCTATAAATCAACTGCACTGGTTCATCTGTCCGTGACTGTGAGGGTCAGCTGGTTGGACAGTAGCTGCTCTAAACCTGTGTGTTTTCTCCACT